TAAAAACAACTTTTTTTGAAATTGTCTGCTGCCACCCCCTAAATGTGTTCTATTTAATAAATTAACACTAAATCAAAAAAAAAATTTAGGGGTCGCTCAAGACCCTTAAACATCAAACGGGTCTATATTTTGAAAAAAAAAATTCTTTAAAAGTATATCATGTTGGGTCTCGAAAGAAATTAAATTTTATAAAAATTTCAAAAAAACTTTTGTAAACTTTTAAAACAGAATTTAGATTATTTAACTTTTTACAAAAAAAAATTATTAATATTTGAAAATATTAATTTGAATAAATTAAAAAGCAAAAAAAAAAAGAGAAAAAAAAAAGAAAAAAAAATTGTTACGAAAAATCTAGTGAATTTTTTAACTATAGAAAACATATTTGTTTAAATGCAAAAGTTTTTTTTTTAATTTTATGTAAAAATATTTAACTTTTTTAAAACAAATTAATAAAAAAAATATCTGGAAATTTCTGGAAAAATAAAGTGAATTTCTGAAAATCCGGGAATTCCCAAACAAAAACTCATTTATGAGATACATTAACTGAGGGTTTTGGTTTGGTCAGATACTCTTTTAATTAAAAGAAAATCTTTTTTAAGAAGAAAAAAAAAAAAAAAAAAATTGTTGCATCACAAAATAGAGACCCCCATCCCTCTTGTAACAAATCGTCACAAATGCCCTTCCCCCCTCCCCTAAGTGTAACCGTAATTTGTGGACGACCCCATATATATATATATATATATATATATATATATATATATATATATATATATATATATATATATATATATATATATATATATATATATATATATATATACACACACACCCACACATACAAATAATAATGTAAAAGCCGTTTCTGTTTAATTTATTTTTTAACTAAATTTCTAATATTTCTTTATATAATAAAGACATCGAAAGACCTCAGGATCCCTTGAAATAACAGAAATTTTTACCTCCTGGTGTTCCGCATTGTTTTTTATGAAAACGCCACTCTAATGAATTTAAAACCACCCTATGAATTTAAAATACAAAAACTTGAATATAAATTTGCAGAATTTAATCAAGATTTATCAGTTAATTAACTGTAATAATATTATACAATATTACACCTTTAAAATTATTTTATAAAGAACATAAAAAGAAAATAAGAGAGAAATACTTTAGTTATGGAAATTAAAACATACTTTAGTTCACTATCATTTATGGAAATTAAAACAGTCTGATCATCAGGATATGGATTTTTTAACGAGAATTCAAAAAATTCAGCTCTTCCAAGAGAAGAATAAATCATATGATGTGTAGTTATATACTCTTCTAAACGATTGGAAATGCCAATGGACTTGAAATTTTCTCTAAAAATTAAATGTTAAATTTGATGTATTATACAGGTATATAATTATATATGTCATAATATTAATGCAATGGTTCTAAACCAGAGGTCCATGTTGTATGAAACTTTCTAGGTGGACCATGAGGCAAACTCTAAAATTTTTTTTCAGATAATAATTATAATTTTCTATTATTCTAATTTTAAATAAACTTTAGAGCATAAATAAAAAATGTAGTTTTTTACTTCAAAACTTATTTTGAGTAACTTTTGTTACAACAAAATCGGAGTTTACCCATTAGCGTATACAGGATCTCTTATAGGTCTTTGTTTAATTAAACGTAAAAGCAGAGCAGACTCTGTGGACCACTAGGTTAACTTTTTTAAAAGGTAATTAATTATTTCATCTGCAAATTTAAATACAATATAAAACTTCCTATCTTATCTAAGTATTAAAATTATACTTCTTAACTGATTTGTTTGAAAGAAACCAGTTTATGTTATACAACCCTATGAATATACAACGCTAACTGCCTAAATAAATAATTACATTTACTGTTGCTATTTTATATTGATATATTTTTATATTTTAGATGCAAAATACTACAAGTAAAAAAGGTCATATTCAAATGAATGAGATTTGATTTTACTTACATGCTTAAAGAAACCATAAGTAACCCATTAGTATATTATTTGTTATAATGTACTGGACACTAGTCTAAGATTATTTACCAAACTCATCAGAATACAGAAGAAGCATATTATAAAGTTTTTTAACAGAAAAAAAAATCTCATAGATGAGATAAAAGTTCTATTTACAAAAAAAACTGTTAGAATATTATTTAGAGTAGAGGCAGAAAAAAGGTAGATTATATATCTTTATCAAAGACTACAGTTAAACAAAAGGCTAACTGACTTTTTCATCAAATATTATAGAAAATTAATGAAATTAAAGAATCTATACTTTTTTCTATACAACTGGATGAATCCAGATGTAAATTCATTGACACAGTTAATTTTATTTTGTAGGTATTTTCACAAAAACAGATTCAAAGAAAGATTTTGCACTCTTCTTTCCTTGAGAATAAGATAGCTGAGACTGTTGAAGTTTTAAAACAGTTTTTTCAATGACAATCAATTACAATCGACATATTTGAAATAGGAACA